AAATCCCAGGAATCCCCCCCAAATCCCTTGACCCCCCCCAGGACCCCCCCATCCCGTTGTCTCCAGGGAGCAGAGCCCCAAATCCCGGGTTTCTGAGGGATTTTCCCTCTCTCCCGGCGCAGGATCGGCCACCACAGCACCAGCGACGACAGCTCAGCCTATCGCTCCGTGGACGAGGTGAATTACTGGGACAAGCAGGATCATCCCATCTCCCGCCTGCGGCACCACATGCTCAACCGCGGCTGGTGGGACGAGGAGCAGGAGAAGAGCTGGAGAAAGAGCTCCCGCAAGATGGTAACGCCGGGATTCCTGGGATTATGGGGGGGAAACACCGGGATTATGGAGGGAAACACATGGATTATGGAGGGAAACACCGGGATTATGGAGGAATCGCTGGGATTATGGAGGGGAACACTGGGATTATGGGGGGAAACACCGGGATTATGGATGAAAACACCTGGATTATGGGTGAATCGTTGGGATTATGAGGGAAACACTGGGATTATGGGGGGAAACACTGGGATTATGGATGTAAAAACCTGGATTATGGGTGAATCGTTGGGATTATGATGGAAACACTGGGATTATGGGGGAAACACTGGGATTATGGCTGTAAGCACCTGGATTATGGGTGAATCGTTGGGATTATGATGGAAACACTGGGATTATGGGGGGAAACACTGGGATTATGGATGTAAAAACCTGGATTATGGGTGAATCGTTGGGATTATGATGGAAACACTGGGATTATGGGGGAAACACTGGGATTATGGCTGTAAGCACCTGGATTATGGGTGAATCGTTGGGATTATGAGGGAAACACTGGGATTATGGGGGGAAACACTGGGATTATGGATGTAAAAACCTGGATTATGGGTGAATCGTTGGGATTATGATGGAAACACTGGGATTATGGGGGAAACACTGGGATTATGGCTGTAAGCACCTGGATTATGGGTGAATCGTTGGGATTATGATGGAAACACTGGGATTATGGGGGGAAACAATGGGATTATGGGCCAAAATTCCCAGGATTATGGGGGAAACACTGGGATTATGGGCAGAAATCACAGGGATTATGGAGGGAAACGCAGGTATTATGGGGAGAAGGGATTTTGAGGTGGGATCCCAGGGATTTTGGGGTGGAATCTCAGGGATTGCAGAGTGTAATCTCAGGGATTATGGGGAGGTATTCTGGAAATTTTGAGGTGGAATCTCAGGGATTAGGGGGTGGGATCCTGGGGATTTCTGGTTGTAATCCCAGGGATTTTGGGGTGGGATCTCAGGGATTATTGGGTGGGATCCTCGAAATTTTGAGGTAGGATCTCAAGGATTCTGAGTTGGGATCTCAGGGATTTCGGGGTATAATCCCAGGGATTTGGGGGTTTAACCTCAGGGATTTTGGGGTGTAATCCCAGGGATTTCTGGATGTAATTCCAGGAATTTCTGTGTGTAATCCCAGGGATCTTGGCGTGTAATCCCAGGGATTTGGGGTTTAACCTCAGGGATTTTGGGGTGTAATCTCATGTATTTCAGGGTGTAATCCCAGGGATTTTGGGGTGTAATCCCAGGGATTTTGTGGTAGCATCTCAGGGATTTCAGGGTGGATTTCTGGGTATAATCCCAGGGATTTTGGGGTGTAATCCCAGGGATTTCTGGATGTAATTCCAGGAATTTCTGTGTGTAATCCCAGGGATCTTGGCGTGTAATCCCAGGGATTTGGGGTTTAACCTCAGGGATTTTGGGGTGTAATCTCATGTATTTCAGGGTGTAATCCCAGGGATTTTGGGGTGTAATCCCAGGGATTTTGTGGTAGCATCTCAGGGATTTCAGGGTGGATTTCTGGGTATAATCCCAGGGATTTTGGGGTTTAACCTCAGGGATTTCAGGGTGTAATCCCAGGGATTTTGGTGTGTAATCCCAGGGATTTGGGGGTGGGATCTCAGGGATTTCTGGGTGTAATCCCAGGGATTTTGGGGTTTAATATCAGGTATTTCAGGGTGTAATCTCGGGGATTTGGGGTTTAATCTCAGGGATTTCTGGGTATAATCCCAGGGATTTTGGGGTTTAACCTCAGGGATTTCAGGGTGTAATCCCAGGGATTTTGGTGTGTAATCCCAGGGATTTGGGGGTGGGATCTCAGGGATTTCTGGGTGTAATCCCAGGGATTTTGGGGTTTAATATCAGGTATTTCAGGGTGTAATCTCGGGGATTTGGGGTTTAATCTCAGGGATTTCTGGGTATAATCCCAGGGATTTTGGGGTTTAACCTCAGGGATTTCAGGGTGTAATCCCAGGGATTTTGGTGTGTAATCCCAGGGATTTGGGGGTGGGATCTCAGGGATTTCTGGGTGTAATCCCAGGGATTTTGGGGTTTAATATCAGGTATTTCAGGGTGTAATCTCAGGGATTTTGGGGTGTAATCCCACGGATTTTGGGGTTTAATCTCAGGGATTTAGGGGTGTAATCTCGGGTATTTCAGGGTGTAATCCCAGGGATTTGGGGGTGGGATCTCAGGGATTTGGGTGTGTAATCCCAGGGATTTTGGGGTTTAATCTCAGGGATTTGGGGGTGTAATATCGGGTATTTCAGGGTGTAATCTCGGGTATTTCAGGGTGTAATCCCAGGGATTTGGGTGTGTAATCCCAGGGATTTCTGTGTGTAATCCCATGGATTTCGGGCTGTAATCCCAGGGATTATGCTCTCCCCCCCCTCAGGTGATGGAAGCCTTCGAGCAGGCGGAGCGGAAGCCGAAGCCCAACCCCCAGCTGCTGTTCTCCGACGTTTACCGGGAGATGCCGCCGCACCTGCGGCGCCAGCGGGCGGCTCTGGAGCGGCACCTGCAGCTCTACGGGGAGCACTATCCCCTCGAGCTCTTCGAAAAGTGACTCTGCACCCCCAAATAATCCTAATAAATCCTAATCTGTGCTCATTCCGCCTCCGTTACCCCCCCCGGTGGGATTAACACCCCGGAGAAGGGATTAACAGCCATAGGGATTGGGATTAACGGCTTTTAGGGGGGGGATTAAGACATTGGAGAGTGGGATTAGGTTATTTGAGGGGAGATTAATTCCTTTGGAGGGGGAATTAACACCAGATTGTGGGATTAACCCCCTTGGAGGGGGATTAATTCCCCCTCCAAAGGGATTAATTCCCCCTCCAAGGGGGTTAATCCCTTTGGAGGGGGAATTAATCCCTTTGTGGGGGGATTAACCCCCTTGGAAGGGGGAATTAAGCCCCTTTTGGAGGGATTAATCCCCTTGAGGGGGTAATTAATCCCCTTGGAGGAGGAATTAACCCCCTTCGAGGGGATTAACATGGTTGGAGGAGAGAATTAATCCTCTTAACCACGGATTAAATCCCTGGAGGGAAGAATTAACCCCCTTTGGGTGGGATTAACTCCCTTTAACCAGGGATTAAACCCCTTCAGGGCAGAATTAACCCCCCTGGGGAGGAGATTAACCCCTTTGTGGGGGATTAACCCCCTTTGGGATGGATTAACGTGGTTGGAGAAAGGAATTAATCCTCCTTAACCAGGGATTAAACCCCTTGAGGGTGGATTAACCCCCTTGGTCATGGGATTAAACCCCTGGAGGGGAGAATTAACCCCTTTGAGGGGGGGAATTAACCCCTTTTGGGTGGGATTAACCCCTTTTCACCAGGGATTAAACCCCTTGAGGGGGGAATTAACCCCCTTTGGGTGGGATTAACCCCCTTTAACCAGGAATTAAACCCCTTGAGGTGAAGATTAACCCCCTTTGGGTGGGATTAGCTCCCCTTAACCAGGGATTAAACCCCTTTAGGTGAAGGTTAACCCTCTTTGGGTGGGATTAACCCCCTTTAACCAGGGATTAAACCCCTTGAGGTAAAGATTAACCCCTTTTGGGTGGGATTAACCCCTTTTCACCAGGGATTAAACCCCTTGAGGGGGGAATTAACCCCCTTTGGGTGGGATTAACCCCCTTTAACCAGGAATTAAACCCCTTGAGGTGAAGATTAACCCCCTTTGGGTGGGATTAGCTCCCCTTAACCAGGGATTAAACCCCTTTAGGTGAAGGTTAACCCCTTTTGGGTGGGATTAGCTCCCCTTAACCAGGGATTAAACCCCTTGAGGTGAAGATTAACCCCTTTTGGGTGGGATTAACCCCCTTTATCCAGAGATTAAACCCCTTGAGGTGAAGATTAACAACCTTTGGGTGAGATTAACCCCCTTTGCGTGGGATTAATCCCCTTTGACCAGGGATTAAACCCCTTGAGGGGGGAATT